TGTTGGCTTTTTTGATGCATCTAGGTTTTGATCTCTTTGAATTTATCCTACTTGGCGTTCACTAAGCTTCATGAATGTGTGTTTTCAGTCATTTTTTCCATATATTCTTTCTACCCTCTTTTTCTTTCTTCTCCATCTGTGGCTCCATTGTGCACATTGTGGTGTGCTTAGTGGTGTCCCTCAGGTCTCTGAGGCTCTATTCATTCTTTCTTTCTTTTTTTTTTTTTTTAAAGATTTTATTTATTTATCTGACAGAAAGTGACGCAGCAAGAGAGGAAACACAAGCAAGGGGAGTGGGAGAGGGAGGAGCAGGCTTCCCGCCGAGCAGGGAGCCCGATGCGGGGCTCGATCCCAGGACCCTGGGACCATGACCTGAGCTGAAGGCAGACGCTTAATGACTGAGCCACCCAGATGCCCCATCATTTGTCCTATCTTTAGATTTTCTGATTCTTTCTTCTAGCTGCTGTGATTTGCTTTTGAGACCCTCTAGTAGATTTTCTGCTTCAGTTTTTTTCCCCAGTTACTTTTAAATTTCGGAATTTGTATTTGTTTTTTTTTAAAAAGTAATGTTTATCTGTTTATTGATATTCTTCATGAGATAGTATTCATACTTTGTTTTAGTTATTTACACATGGCTTTCTTTAGTTTTATGAGTATATTTACAATAGCTGACTTACAGACTTTTACTAAACCCATGTCTAGACTTCCTTGGGGACAGGTTTTATTGTTTGCTTTTGTTCCATGTATATGGACTATCTTTTCTTGTTTTAGTGAGTCCTGTAATTTTTTGTTGAAAATTAGACATTTTAAATAACAATATGGCAGTTCTGGACCTCCGATTCTCTCTTTTTCTCATGGTTTGTTGCTGTTGGTACTTGATGTAGTTGTTCTTGTTTGTTGGATGACTTTTCTGAGCTAATTTTCTAAAGTCTGTATTCTTTATTGTGTGTGGCCAGTGAAGTCTCTACTTGGTGAACTTAGTAATCAGCAAATGATTGGGCAGACTTTCTTAAACACCTAGGACCAGTGAATTTCTCTCCCAGGGAACTCCATGTATGTATTAGGGCCTGCCTTTAACGCTTAGCCTAGCAGTTGAAAGTTCTGCCTTGGCCTCCACTTGCTCATGCAGAGGCTCAAAGTCGGCCAGTGGTGAGAGGTTAGGGCCTCACCGAAGGGTTTTTTCTAAGTCTGCACATAGCCTGCACATTCATGTGTCCAAAGTTTTCAAAATCTCCACGGACATTATATTCCGCAGCTTTTCCTTTTGTTTGCCTCAGCTGTTATCCCCTGTTTCAGTCAGCTGTGAAGTTAAAATACTCGCCTCTGATTGTTTTCAACAAACACTCCCTGGGGAAAAGGCTTTTCTGAGTCCATTTAAAAACAGCCTAACAATTGGGGTCTTCTGGGGAACCATCCCACAGGTCAAGTGATCCGAGTTCTTGGGAATGAAGTTTTGGAGGAGCTCCAGCTCCTCTGTGCTCCCTCTGATGGCTGCCAGGCTATACTGGGGATGTGGGTTACCAAGGGGCTAGAGAGTGAGAATGGGCCTACGGTCAGCTAAAATGTCATAAAGCTTGTTTTTCTTGAATCAGTGCTCTCTGGGTTCCTGCAAACCTTTGATTAGTTTCCAAAGTTCAGAAAACGTACATATTGACAATTTTTGCCAATATTCTTGTTGCTTTTTTGAAAGAGCGCTTTTTTGGAGGTGTTACTCTATAATTTACACTTTTGGATCAGGAATTTCTTGTGTAGCTTTTTGTTTTCCTGGTGTTTCTTTTTAACTTGTAAAAAATAGTATCTTTTCATCATAATGTCCAAATCAGCCAGACGCACTAGAACAACGTATTGTCTAGAAATCGCTTTTCCTAAAGTCCTCTCACCTCTGATTCCAACCCGGACCAATTATGTTTCAGTTCTGCTGTATAGTTTACATCCTGGAGCTTCCTTTCACTGTACTTCTAGATTAAATTCAGTGTTTCGGATCCCTTTTGGATCTTCCTCCCCACCCCCCCAGTTTTATTAAGGTATAATTGACATATGACACTCTGTTAGCTTCTGTGGTATAACATAAGGCTCTGATATCTGTATTGCACAATGGTCACCAAGGTAGGATTAGTTACACTTGTCACCATACGTAGTTAAGGTTTTGTGTCTGTGTGTGTGATGAGTGTTGGAGTTCTGCTCTCTTAGCAGCTTCTTCATGCCCGGTGCCATGTTGTGAGCTGTGGTCACCGTGCTGTGTAGGAGGTCCAGGCCCCACTGACCTTCCTATTGGACGTTTGTGCCTTTGACCCCGTTCCCCCAGGATCTTCCTCTGGTTTGGTTTTTTTCCTCATTTTGCTGGGCTATAGCCTCAAGGAACTTTCTCAAGGTATGTTGTAAATAAGAGATTCTTGAATGTCTTAAAATGTAGTTATTTTAAACTTTCCCTTATTTCATGGTTCCAGGTGTGTATGGAAATCTAACTTTAAAAAAAGTTCTCCCCTTAGAAAATTGAAGACATTGCTTCCCTGTCATCTTATGTCCAGTGTTAACTGTTTCTAGAGATCTCTTCCGTTCAGGTTCTTTGTGAGTAAACTTTTATCCCTGGTCTTTGGAATTTTTAGGGCCTTATTTTGAGTTCTCGGTGTTACGAGTCCACGAGTTTGTGTGCGTTGTGTTTTACTCCTTCTGCACAGCCCTCGGTGGGGTTTTGTCCGAAGGCATGTTTTCCTCGACCCCGGAGCATTGTCTTGTTGCTGCATGGTTCCCAGCACACCACCCCCACCGCCTGGATGGGTCTTTGTCTCTACCTTGATGTTTTTTGATTTTGTTTTCCAGTCTTTCTGTTGCAGATTCTATTTTAGCTTCTGTGTGTTTAATTCTAAGTGGTGTATGTGTGTGATTGTTCTATTTTCATATTTCATTTTGGTTCCATGGTCACACTTCTCACGCCTCTCTGAGGATATATACTGGAAATACTTTAGAATTTCCTTTTTTCCTATTTGCTCTGTAGTCTTTGTTTTTTCATGCTGTTGCTTTAAGGATGCCTTTCTTAATTCCCTAGTAGTTTTTTTAATTAAAAAAACGTATTTTCCCCATTCTTCTGAGTAGGGGATGGATGGTGTTGATGGTGTTCTCCATTACGTGGCTGAGGTCTGGTCAGAGCCGAGGGGCCGACCGGCCAGCCTTCCGTACAGGACGTGGGGCCGACCGCCCACACCGCCCCTCAGACTGCTGCTCCGTGTCTCTGGAGCACTGCCCCATCGGTCTGTACCACAACGGGGTCCTGTCCCCTCCGGTGGGGCTTCCTCAGCTGTCCCAGGGCTGACTGAGGGGCTCTGCTCCCGTCCTCCCTGCCTGCTGACTGCCAGCCGGAAGCCCCATGCACAGACGAGACGACTCACTCGTCCCTGCTCCGTGCTGTCTGTCCCCACACTCTTCTCCTTTGTCTCCACGTTTCCTCCTCCTCCTCCTTCCTCCCTTGCATTGTCTGGGGTTTTTCTCTTTGTGCTTTGTTCCTGTCGTTTCTGTGGGTCACAGAGGCTGGGACACGATCACCCTTCCCAGAGTGACATCTCAGACTGGAAGCATCTCCTATCTGGGTCCCCTTCGGTGCTTTGGCTCATCCCCTGTTGTGCAGGCCTCGCAGTGTGAGAAGCTTGCCCAAATTTGGAAATTACCGTGTTACGTAAAGTTGGCTGGGAGGATTTTATTAAAGTGAGCTTGCTCCTGGGGCGCCTCCACCACACATCCAAATTCATGGTCAGGGACATCGTCTGGGAGTGTGCCAGGCTGCTGCTGATTTGGCCATTGGATGCTGAGTAAATCCGGGTCGTGCCCATGTCTTTGCAGAGCTGGCTGAGTGAACAGGACACCCCCAGAGGTTGGGTGTGGGCATGTGTGGGCCGTGGGTCACTCTGCTCTGTAGCAGCGCTTTTGTCCCCTTTTCCCTGCTTTCCCCGCTTCCCCCACTCCCGGCACGGTTCAGGAATTCTTCCTCTCTTGCCCGAGAGCCGCCTGATGGTGGGAACTGTGGAACAGCACCCCTTCCACTGTCCATCTTTTACTCGAGGGTTTTTACAGTACAATTAGGTTACAGGAGCCAAGCTCGAATATTCTGTGAGAATTTCTGTTCGATGCTTTATGAGTGTTTAATGAGCACTTACCAAGCCATGTGGGAGGGTCGTCTCCAAACAAAAGCGGATGGAACCCCACCCTTAGGCCTGAGTTCTCCCCTCCAGTGTCTTTTCATTTAATGCACGCATTATGCAGATGCTGTCATAAAAAGATTTTGCAGTTTAGACACACGTTTCAGAGTTCAAAAAGAATTGAAATGGAATAAAAACAGGAGTTCTGTGTGCTTCCCTTTTCCGGTTACTGATCTGATGAACCTCCAGGGGTTCACGAGCTTTGGATGCTTCAGGCCAGGGTCCCAGCAGGTCCCAGTGTGGGTGCGCAGGCAGCTGCAGGGGAGAAGGGAGAGACTGTCCAGGACAAGTGTCCCCAAGGAGAGAATGGTGGGCTGAGAGGCTGGGTTTCTCGAGAACAGGGGAGCCGGCCTCACTGTCCCCGGGGAAGGCACAGTGGCTTGCAGACGGAGGCAGAGTGGGCGTGCGGGGGCTCGGCCCTCCTGGGCGCCCTCCAGAGCCTTGCTGCTGACGAGGCCCGACAGCGAGATGGGGGTGGGAGCACAACCCCACCTGCACCAGCCATGCTTGCCTTCCACCATGGCTACCGGTCTCCCCGATGGAGAAGGGATTTCTGTGGAAGACCAGTAGTTTTCCTGCGTCATCATTACGCACGTTGAAACGGGACTTCCAGTACGTTTACTTGGAGACGGCGTGCGTGGGCTGCTTCCAGTGTCACTGGGTTGGTAGGATTCTCTTCGTCCAGAGTGCCTGTGGACCCCCAGGATGGCCTTGCATCTTGCTCTCCCGCGGTCTGCGGCCAGGTCCTGCTTGGGAGCGTGCTAGGCACCACCTTCCAGCACAGAGTGACTCCCTTCTGCTCGGTTCCAGGTCTCGGTGGCCCTGAGCAGCAGCTCCATCCGGGTGGCTGTGCTAGAGGAGGATGGGGAGCACGTCCTCATGGAAGGGAAGTTCACCCACAAGGTCAACACCGAGAGCTCTCTCTGGAGCCTGGAGCCTGGCAAGTGCGTCCTGGTGAGTGTGGGCGTTGGTGCTCGAGCTCCGGGAGGGGGTGGGGGTCACACCCGCTGTGGGGCTTATCCTTGGGCCGTGGGGGCATGGATTCCTGCTGTCTGGGGCACAGCTCAGGGGGCACCTCTGCTGGCCTCGGCCCCTTGGGGTCCCGCCATTTGGTTCTCTGAAGCAGAGCATGAACTCACGGTCCTCCGTCCTTGTGCCCACATGGTGACCACGCGCGCAGGCCGCACGCGGTGACCACAGAGGAGCTCCTGTGGGGTCATCCCCAGAGCATGGCTGTGCTTGCCAGTGACCTGGTTACAGCTGAGGCAGAACCAAATAAGTGACAAATTGGAAGGCAGGTTGAATTTCACGGATGTCCTCCTGGAGGATGCAGAGTTAACAGATTCAAACAGACCGGCTTGTTTGACAAAGGGGATCTCAGCTGGCTGTGCCCCTTGGGGCTGCAGAAGCCAAGCCAGGTGCTCTGGCACTCCCGTTCCTGGCGTCCTCAGTGGCTCCTTCCCCCTCCTCGGGGCCTCGCACCCGGTCTGGCAGGGGGGGCCCAACCAGGGTCTGGTGAGAGGGTGCAGTCAACAGGAACAGACCAGGTCTTTGGACAGAACCTCATGATTTTACACAGGCCCGTTCTTCACGTGTGCCCGGAAGGAAGGAAGGAAAAATGTTCCCATTTCGTGTTCACAGGATGGGCACCAGTGGGCCAGCCTGTGTGCGCTGACCGGAGGCCTTGGCGCGAGAGGGGTCTATCGTGCAGGGCTGCTGGGGCGCACTCACGGGGCCCTCTGTGTGATGGGGACACCAGGTCGTGGGTCACAGGCCAAGCCCACCCAGCTCTTGTTCTCAACCTTGCTGGGCACCTCCCTGCCCTTCTGAGGTTCCTGCTCCTCTCCGTGGGATTGTGACAATTGTCATCCTGGGGCTCAGCCCCTCTGCCCATAGTGCCGTGCCTGCCTGTCCCCCAGGCCCCGGCCCCATTGCAGAATGCCTTCCTGGTCACGGCCTCACTGGTGCTTCTCGGGGCTGTGGGAGGTAAAGTCAGGGTCTCCTCACCACCTCCACCCCAGCCTCCCAGCGGCTCATCCTGTGCCAGTGGGGCTGTGAGACCCGAGACACAGGGTGCCCGCTGCCTGCGGACAGCGTGGGGGGGGCCCCGAGCAGCGCCCCAACGGGAGTCCCACCCGGGACGCACGCGTTCTGCCTGATGCCCCCGCCAGGACGTGTGCGCCCACGTCCCTGTGCGGACGGGCCGGCCAAGGGCTCGCTGGTGCCCTGCGGCCTCCCCGCTGCTGCCCTGGCGTCTGTCAGGGTTATCGCCCGCGTACTTTCCATGTCCGCTGTGGAAACGCGCCTCTGGTGATCCCTGAGCTCGTCTCGTGGGGGCTTCGGTTGGTTAGCCACATTGCCTCTCTGTGTGTTGGTGTGCGAGTGCTCGAACACGGCTGTGGCTCACGGCAGCCCGTTACACCTTGTCATCGGCTGCCATTTCTGAGCACGCTCGGGGCCCGTTTAACTCTCCAGAAGCTCGTCCACGGGACGTGACTCGCCCGAGGCGGAGCCCCACGTGCCTCTCCGCCTCCCGGCTGCAGGGCGCCCTGGAGGGGGTGGGGGGAGCGCGTGCGCAGCCCGTGGGAGGCCTTCCTCCCGCCCACCCACGCCGTGCCCGCTGCCACTGACTTTCCTACTTTGCCTTTGCCACGCGCCTGCCGCTCGGCGAGTTCAGCTGTGCGGAGCCGACCACGGGCGGAGGTGCACTTGGCGCTGCCCGTGAACATGGTTTCTGGGAGTTTTCCCCGCTGACCCCCTGCCAGCCGGGTCCGTGTGGGAGCCCTCGGGTCCGCGGGTGCTGGGCGAGTACTGCCCGCGGTGCTCGGGGTGGCTTGACCGTCAGCAGCTGGGGCTGCGTGGGGAAGGCCCTCGCACGTCCGCCCCCGAGCTTGCCCGTTGGCACCGCCGGTGTGCTCTGCCCATGGGGTGTGGGGCTCCCCCCGCCTCCCCTCCCGACCACGGGCCGTGTTCTGGACGTCGCGGTTCGTGTGACGTTTGGCGTCATGTCTCTGAGATGATACCGCGGTCGAGCGAGCGCGTTGCCGTGACGCATGAAGACCCTTATCCCTTTGCTGCTGGGGGCATGCACCACGTCCCTCGGGCCTCCGCTCCGCTCGGCACTGCCTGGCTCGGGTAGTCCCATCGGCTGCACGGGAACTGCATTCTTGACCCTTAGGATGAGGCTGAGAGCCTTGGCTGGCCCAGCCCCAGACGTCCGTAGGTTGCTGACGGTTCAGGGCCAGGCCCTGTGCTGGGCACCAGGGCAACTGAAAAACATGGTCGAGGGCGCCTGTCCGGAGGGCTGCAGAGGCCTGGAAAGGGCTCCAGTGTCCTCGCCAGAGCCTGGAACCTGCGAATGGGACCTTACAAGAGAACAAGAGGGAGGTTGGAGACGGAGGAGGACACACAGGCGGAAGGAGTGACGTGAAGACAGGCAGATGCTGGGGAGACAGCCACAGCCCGTCCCGGGAGACCTCCGCAGGGAGCCCAGCCCTGCAGCCCCTGTCGGACTTCCGGCCTCCAGACAGAGAGCATCAAGGCCCCTGGCTGCCCCGGGGCGCCGAGGGGCGAGACTGCTGTGAGGGCCTCATGGACCACGAGGGGCAACCCCAGGGCTGCACGTCACCTCCCCAGAGTCCTTGGTCCGTGCCTGACCTCCCAGCGGGCGACGTCACTGGCTTCCCAGCCCCCGTCGTCCCCTGAGGGCGTGCATATCAGACAAGCTGCAGGCGTTCGGAGCGGGCAGGGGTGGCAGCTAAAACCGGATGACAGCTCTTACCTCCCTCCCTCCCACACTCGAGAGTGTTAAACGAGGCTCCTTGCCTCTCAGGCAGCCTCCTTTCTCTGCTGAGAGACGGGGAGTCAGCGCTTCCCCCGAGCCGTGCTGTCCCAGAGGCGCACCAGCGCCCTGTCCTTGTCCCACTACCCCCCCCCCACGGCGCTGACGGCCCCCTCTGCCGGGGCGGGGTGTTCCCGGGCCGGCCCCTGCCCCGCTTAGCGCTCCCCCGAGCGTGTGCGTGCGTGCGGGCTGTGCCCCCGCATCCTCTCCTGGAGTTCAGTTCTCAGCAGCGGGGCTGCAGGCTCACCATAGTCCTCGGCCGTCTGCCAGGGGACGCTGTCCTGCGCCCTGTGTGTGTGCGGCCGCCAGCATGGGCTTGCCGACCCACACTCACCATGGCTGGCCTGCCCGCGCGCCTTCCTCTGTCCCTCTCCGTGTCCTGACGAGGATGTGCGTTTCCCGCGGGGTCACAGCGCATCCTCCGTCCCAGCTGTGGGCTCAGTAACCTCAGCGTTCTGGCAAGTGCTGGAAGCCAGTCCGTGGAACGGCCTTCCGCGCGCTCCTCTCCCAGGACCCTGGGCATTTCTCGGGCCGGTCAGCACCGTGGCGCCGTCCCCAGGCAGTCCCTGAGTCCCAGCAGGGAGGAGCTGTGGCTCCGGGGGGCGGGCGGCAGGAAGGTGCCGGGCACGACCAGCGGACTGTGCTCCCGGGGGATGCAGGGTCGTCCCTCCGTCCTGGGGCGAGGTGAGCGCAGAGGCGAACGCAGACAGCGTTCCCTACCGGCACAACCACGCCCCGGCCCTGTTCCGTCCGGCCCACACAGTGCTCTGATCTGTGAGCTTAAAAAGCTCGTTGGTGGCATGAAACACCGGGCGCTTGCCCGTCGTCCTGCTGTGCCTGGCTAGCTCCGGGGTCGGTGGTTGGATGCAGACCCACGTCCTTCCAGAGGGGCCTGCAGGGAGCAGGTCCCGCCGTCTGCCCTCGTGGCCAGCACTGTCCACGGCTCTCACGGTGTCCCCCTGGTCCCCACTGTCTGGAGGGCCGCTGCCCTCGTCAGGCACGAGGCCGCCCTGCTTGGATGCTGTTCTGCCAGGCAGGGGGGAGGGGGAGGCAGGGCTGCTGAGTCATCGCACAGGTTGTGGGGGTGCTGAGCTCCTTCACACGGGGTTGGAAGTTTCTGTGAGGACGCTTCGGGAAACTGATTGGAGATCTGGGACCAGGTCGATGTGAGGGTCCTGGAGGGAGGCCAGGTAAGGGGGGGTGGCGAGTTAGCGAGGATACTCTCAACACCTGCGTGTTGAGGGGTGGGAGTGAGCGGGAGCCACCGAGATGCCGGGCACCCGGGAGTGGTGCTGACAGAGGTTAAATGTCTCCACCGTGGTGGAGGAGGCCCCTGCCGCCATTGTGGGGAAACGGGCTCAGGGAGGAAGCTGGTGGATGTGGCGGAGTGACTCCCTGGACGGGGTGCGGCGTCACCTGAGCAGGATGCTCTTGGGGGCACCTTCCTGAGCTTAATCAGGAGGAAACACAAGACGAACCTCAAATGAAGGTGGTCTTTAAATGCGAGGCCATGGAATGTTCCAGATGAGCGGGGACGGGACCGCTAAGGTGCATTTGGGACCTCAGCCTGGATCCTGTGCAGGAGGGAAAGTTCTGCTAAAGAAAAGAGCATCCCTGTCCCCGGGAAGGAGGCACCTGTTGAGATACCGGGGTGGTTCCGGGCAAGATCGTGGAACTGACTGTGAGTCATGCGTGTCGTCAGATGCATGTGCTGTGATGGAGCAGGGGTAGCCTGTCGGTGGGGGAGCCCAGGACAGACACACACGGGTATGTTTGGAATTATTCCAAGTAAAATGTTCAGAAAAACACGATGGTAAACGAGCACGCGGAAGGGTGGCGACGTCTTTGGTCACGGAACCACGGACCAGAGCAACGCGCCACTTCCCCCCTGCCGGGCGGCGTGGATATGCCACGGGGACAGCACGCTGAGTGCAAGAAGCAGGGGCTCAGAAGGACACCGAGGGTGCGCAGTGGGGGGCCGGAAAGCATAACGACACGGTGGGGAGGGGCTGGTGGTGGGCACGGGGCTCCTTTGGGGCGAGGACGGTGCTCTGAACCGGATAGCGGTGGTGGTTGCCGAACACTGTTGGGCTAAACGCACTGAGTTGTTCACTTTAGAATGATTGTGTTATGTGAGTTTTCTCTCAAAACACAGTGTCTCTTACTTATTTTTTCTTAAAGATTTTATTTATTTATTTGACAGAGACACAGCGAGAGAGGGAGCACAAGCAGGGGGAGCGGGAGAGGGAGAAGCAGGCTCCCCGCCGAGCAGGGAGCCCGATGCGGGGCTCGATCCCAGGACCCTGGGATCATTACCTGAGCCACCCAGGCGCCCCTAGTGATTTTTTTTTTTTAAGATTTTTATTTATTTGTTTGACAGAGAGAGACACAGCGAGAGAGGGAACACAAGCAGGGGGAGAAGGAGGGGAGAAGCAGACTTCCCCGTGGAGCAGGGAGCCCGATGTGGGGCTCGACCCCAGGACCCTGGGATCACGACCTGAGCCGAAGGCAGACGCTCAACGACTGAGCCACCCAGGCGCCCTTCAAAATAGTGGTTTTAAAAGTGTTGCTCGGCTCATCTTGATTTTTGTTGGGTTTGCGAAGGGCTCATGTGGGTAGCAAGGCCCGGTAGCTCCTTGTGTGCCGGGTCAGCCCGTCCTGCCCAGAAACCCTGTGTGTGGTTGGCGGTTCACGTGGAGGGGCGGGCAGCAGAGCCCCTGGTGGTGCAGGGCTGACCCCTGCTGTGCCCTCTGCGGAGGGGCGCTGGTGGGCCGAGTGGCTCTGCCCTTGGCCCTGCGGTCTGCTGACTCCTGGGTGTGTGCAGAGCTCCTGGCAGGGGTGATGACGGAGGGCCTGCAGGTGGGAAGGGCCTGAGGGTCTCTCTCCAGAGGCAGAGCGGCCTGTAAGTGCCTCAGAGCACTCTCCGGGAATAAAGGGGATAGCGAGACCGGGAACGCCTTCCCCCTCGGAAGGTGTTGGTTGTGTTGGAACACAGATCTGCACCTGGGCGGAGGTGGGCCGTGCTCTCGATATTGGGGTCTCAGAGGGCCAGGTCAGGTCCCCGCACACAAACTGGGGAGCAAAGTCCGTGAGAAGCGGCTGACTGGAGCATCTGGAAGCCAGATCCACCCCAAACGTCAACCATGGCGTTGGCATCTCCGAGCCCGCGGTCTCGGTGCCCCCCCGTCTTCACGCCCCACGCCCGCCGGGATAGTCGGCAGCGGGGAGGCTTATTTCTGTCCTGCAGACATTGCCATGCTGTCACCCAGACACCCTCTCACCGTGCGGCCTGCCCCGTATCCCACATCCCGAGTCCTTCTCCGGGACTGGGCTGGAGCCCTGCTGTGGTGGTGAGGTCCGGACCCCCGGTGGGGGGCTCAGGCACATGGTGTCCTCACAGACGTCACTGGTGGGGGCCAGTTCCGGGTCTGTGGAGTCACGATTGTGCTCTGGCCAGGAACCCTCTGCTCGGGGTGCTGCTCTGAGTGAGAGCTGCTCCAGCTGCAGGCCTGTCCTGTCTGCCCTGCCTCCCAGCCTTCGGGGTGTGACTGGGGCTTTCGTGCCTTTGGAGACTAAGTGGACAGTGTGAGGGACCGTGGACCGCCCAGCAGTCCATTCTCGGCCTCTGAGGAGCTCGGCCACCAGCCCACAGGGAGGCATGCCGTCTGGGCCCCACCTCCCCCGTGCGCTGCCCTGACTTGGGGGGCGTGCTGGAGGCAAGGGAGGTCCTCAGGGGTGTGGTGGGCACTGGGGGGGGGCGGGCAGGAGCCTGTGGACAGAGGCTCCTCTCCCCGGCGGTGCAGGGAGGCTGGGGCGGGGGCCAGGCTGGGGTCCTGGCCGCTGAGCGGGTGCGGGGCACTCACACACGCAGGTCCTCGGCCTCCAAGAGAACCTGGGGTGGGGGGGACGAGGGCCGCCCCCACACGGAGCGCTGTCTGCCCGTGTGTCCCAGGTGAGCCTGAACAAGGTGGGTGAGTACTGGTGGAGCGCTGTCCTGGAGGGCGAGGAGCACATCGACATCGACAAGATCAACAAGGAGCGCTCCATGGCCACGGTGGACGAGGAGGAGCACGCCGTGCTGGACAGGCTCACCTTCGACTACCACCAGAAGCTGCAGGGCAAGCCGCAGAGCCACGAGCTGGTGAGGAGGCGTGCTGGGCGGGGGCGGTGGGGGACGCTGCGGGCAGGGGGAGTCTGCAGCAGGGTCCTCGCAGGTGGCTCTGGCCCTCCGGGGTGGGGCACTGGTTCTGCCCCTATTCAGAGCCCAGGTGGAAGGGCTGTGTGCAGCTGGTCCACACAGACGTGGGACGTCGCACGTGATCCGGGCTCTCCGGGGCTGTGTGTGGGCGGGGGGGGCGGGACGGTGCCCAGACAGCCCCTCCCCCGAGCCCCCGGGGACCCTCGGCAGAGTTGTGGGGAGCCAGGCCCAGCTCTGCTGCAGGGCCCGTGGGAAGAAAATCCTTCCGAGTCACCTGGGAACGTCAGAGGCCAGAGAAGTCCGGATGGCCAGCATGGAGGGGACATTAGGGGTCCACACGGGCAGAGGTCCGCACCGCGCAGCACGTGCTGGGGGCAGGAACGCAGATCGCCAGGCGTGTTCATTCTTCCTTGTGCTCAGTGCTCCCAAGAATGTCTGTTGAGGGCAGGAAGGGTCGGTTTTATCAGGTTAATTTTGGTTCCCGGGTGTGGTGGGCACCGGCCGAGTCAAGTCTCGCAGAGGAGGGGGTCTTCTTTGTTCCACGTGTGTCGACACGGGAGTCCCCCCGATGCCATTCGGGGTTCCGAGGCGTCCTCACTGGTCCTCCCTCCTGCCGCCCTTTCCTCAGGCCCCACGCAGATGGCCTTGCTCCTGCGAGGGTCACTCAGGGAGCTGACCACCGCCGGTCGGGCAGGGCCGGCTGGGTCATGAGAGGAGCATCGGGTGCTCTTGCCGGCTCGTGGTCAGGGTGGCTCGGGCAGCAGGGCTGGGGCCTGAGTCCCGAGTTGGTCCCTGCCTCTGTTCTCCTGCCCCGAGTCTCTGAACCTGCCCTCGGTCGGGCTCCCTGACCACCTGGGCCTACAGGGCCCGGGGGGGCCGAGGTGGCCTGTGTCTCCGGCTGGCGCAGCCGAGCTCGCAGATGGGGGCCTCGCCTTCATGGGCGTTGGGTGGCAGCCACGGTCCGTTACAGGACGGCTGCCTGTGGCCACCAGAAGAAAGTGTGTGAGCTTGGGCCCCGCGAAGGGGCTCGAGCGCTGCCGCCTGGAAGTGGCCGGGAACCCAGGCCCTCGAGGGGAGCAGGAGACCCTCGCCGACGGGCCCGGGGACGGACAGCCGATGGGGACGTATCCGAAGAAGAGCTTTAAAGATGCTGCTAACAGACGGGCCTCTGTGCCTTGAGTCGGAAGGGACTCCGGAAGGACTTGCCACGTGCTGGGGGGCAGCGTGCGGCCCTGGGGGACGTGAGTGCTGGGCCGAGTGGCGCTTTCCGGGCACTTTGAGCAGACATGCAGGAGCCGGGGGCTGGGTGTGCCTCTCGCCCGGGTGACCTGCGCTTGAATGCGGGGCACCATCACTGCTGTCCAGGACTCCTCTGGGCTCGGCGGGGCTTTGGGGAGGACCGTTCTCACACATGGCTGTGAGGGAAGCGCCGTGTGGGGAGCGGGTTCGGACCACGAGAGCGTGAAGGCAGGAGGGCTGTGCCGGGAGCTGGTGGTGAGGGAGCCAGATCTGGGGAAGCTCAGAGGTGCCGAGGTCACACGGCCGTGGAGGCTCGAGCTGGAGGGAAGCAGGTCCCCGGGAGGAGGAAATGTGGGGCCAGGGGGTCAGCAGGACCGGCTGGTGGCTCCCGAGGAGGCAGGGCCCGTGTGGGGAGCAGGAGTTGATGGCCCTGGACGGCCCCGGTACCCAGTCCTCACCAGCGGTCAGGGCTCGCATGGGGCTCCTGTCCCGAGAGTGGCCGGCGGGGAGGGGGCTTGGAATGGGCGGCGGGAGTTGGAGAGGAGGGGTGGGGGGGGCGTGTGTTGGGCGGGCTGGTTGCTAGGCCCTGCGCGGTCGTGCGCCGCAGGTCGGCAGTGATCGTTAACCCGGCCCGAGTCCGCCGTGCTGGCGGCTGCACCGCTGGGCTTAAAGCCAGGGGAGAGGGGCCGCGGGCAGGAGGGACAGCGTGTCCTCGTGCGGAGGAGGCAGAGTGAGCCCTGCTCTGGGCCCTGCGTTAACCTCTGTGTCTGTTTTCTGTTTGTAGAAAGTGCACGAGATGCTGAAGAAGGGGTGGGATGCTGAAGGCTCCCCCTTCCGAGGCCAGCGATTCGACCCGGCCATGTTCAACATCTCCCCGGGGGCTGTGCAGTTTTAATGCCCGGAGGAAAGGAAGTGCCCGCTGGCCGGGAGGCGGGATGTTGGCCATGCCCCCGGCTCCCTCCTGCCAGGGACTCGTTGGCGGGTTTGCCCTTGCCATCCTTTCCTTCAAGGGTGAACCCGCGGCACCCGGCCCTGCATTTCCAGACTGCAGGGAGCAGTGCGGGGCGAGCGGGACGCCGGCCACCCGCTCTCCTCTTGCTGCCGTGCACACGCTCTGCTTGCTTTCCTTGTGCTGGGGGCGGGGAGTGGGTGCTGGGCCAGCTGCTGACGTGGGGGGGGGCGGGGGGAGCCCTAGCCTTGACATCTCCCTGCCCCACGTGTGCGTGTGGTGTTGCTTGGCGTTTGTGCGCGTCCGCCACCTGCTCATCCCCGTCAAGGAGCAGCAGCAAGTGGGGTCCTGGTCGCCGCTTCTGGATGTGAGGACACAGTCCCTAGTGGCCACAGGCGCAGCAGGAACTGGCCTCGACGTCTTCTCGTGGGACCCGGTTCTTGTCAAAGAGCTGACCGGGTGCCCCCAGGAGACCAGAGCACGGCGGCCCCGCCCCTGCCCCGTCGGCCGTCGGACGGCAGGTCTCCCGGGACCTCCCCTCGTGGCTCTGTCCTCGGGGCGGACAAGGACTCCTTTCTGGGCGACGGTCCCTCCGGAAACGGCCCCCTTCGCCTGAGTAGGTCGGAGGGGGCTCGTCAGTCATGTGGGGGCAGGTTTGTGGCTCACAGAGGCCTGAATACCCAGTCCCTGGGAAGCATCGGGTGGCTCTGCCGCCTTCGAGGGAGGTGCAGACGCCAGGTGGCTGGTGGGAGCATCGCCGGGGGGGGCGCGGAGCCCTGTCCCCTGTAGTTGGCACTGAGGCTGGTCGTGGAGCCGCTGAGACCCGTCCTCGGGGGCCCCCGGGATGTGCACGCCTGCCCCACGTCACCAGCGTCTCGTGTGAGAACTGTTCTCGATGGTCTCGGGCCCCTGGGCCACGCCGTGAGGGTCTTCTGGTGTGACGAGGGGGGCTGTGCACCTGCATCCCAGCCACTTGGGAGCCCGGGGAGCCGTGGACTCTGTGGTCCGTCTTCCTCTGCCCGACGTTCTCTTCAGTGTTGTGTTTCTGCCCCGCCCCGCCGGTCATGATGGCGGCTCACCGGCGTCTGGGAGTGGCGGGCTGGGGCCGCCACGCCGGTCCACGCTGCTGATGGCGGGCTGTCCTCACGGGCGTCCTCTGCCCCTCGCTGCCGGCTGGGCCCTGGAGCCGTGCAGCCCGTGTGTTTTCTCTCTCTAGACGCGGCCGCCGCAGATTGGCCACTGAGCTCCGTCAGCCGAGGTCCGCGGAGAGCAGGGTGCCCGCCTGCGAAGTCCCTCTCCAGTGTCGGTTTGCAATAAATCTGTATTTAAGCACTTCGGCGTCCGTGTGTATCATCAGCTGCCGAGACTGTTCTGTGTGTGTGCACATGTGCGTGGGGACATTTCCGGAACTCCAGCCACGAGGTCCCTGGCGCTCACACAAAGCAGGCCCCAGAGAGGGGGATTCCTGTGTCCTTCGAACTGTGCTTGTCTCCACCTGTGGTTTTCAGAAGATCAGAGCTCTTGATCAAGAAGAACGGATTGTGGCCGCAGAGCCCACATGGGTTTCCGGCAGGTCCTGGGAACCCACGGTGAGCACAGGGTCCCGAAGCTTCCGCCAGAGGACCCCCCACGAGGGTCCCCATGGGGAGGGGAGGACCCCTCGAGGTCCGCATGTAGTGATGCTGGGCCCACGCATCTGCCTGCACCCTCCCGGGCACAGCGGGTCCGCCGCACCCCCGTCCCCGGGGACCGTGCTCAGTGGGCAGGACCTGGGCGTGCTTCCTGAGTGAACGGAGGATGCGTGGTGGTGGGAGCACCCAGACGTCTGGGCCCAGAACCAGCCTGCCAGGGACGAGAGGCCCCATCTTTAACAGTTTGTCCTGAAGCGTGTGGGAGGTTACCAGTCTCCGTGTTCTGTAGGGAAATGCAGCGGGGAGGCGGCTGCCGCCCTGCAGACGTGTGTGCCCGGGCCTGCCCACCTGGGGACAGACCCAAGGCCACCCGACCGGGCTCTGCTCCACAGGCGGGGGACGCTCATGTGGACGTGGTCGGGCACCAACGTCCTGTCACTTCGGGCTCTGCTGGGTGGGGACCCAGGCGTCTGCTCGAGCCTGGTGGTGGTCTCAGTCACTGTGCTTCTTCACGACTGGCCTGGCTTCCGAGGTCCGCTTGCGTGCCGGGCCTCAGAGCTGGGCGCCGCCTCGGCTCTTCTCCTGCTGTGGACGGCAACAGCCCTTGCCCGTCGGTTACCCTGAGGGGTTGGGCTGCTGCCGCCTGCCTGGACGGTGTCGGGGACCCTGTAGCCGGCGCTGGGAGAGTCTGGGGCCCCCCATGACCTGGGACGGTCACGCCCCGGCTGTGGACAGCCTGCCCAGCAGCTTGGCGTGGTTGTCCTGGGTACGGGGTGTCCTGCGGGCTGGCCCGAGACCGTGTTCCCTGGAGAAGGAGAACGTCCCTCCTGCATTCTCTGTCCTGCCGCTTCCCGCGCTTTTTTGCCAGGGTTGGATGGACCTTTGGGGACGTTTTGACCCAAACACTGTGTGAGGGCCGCAGAGGAAGTGATGCCCCTGAGGCTTGAGGCAGACCCCGTTCGCGCCCCAGTGGGGCTCCCTGCCTCTGCCATCTGCGTGGCCCAGGCCTGGCACTGGTGGACGTTCTGCGGGGCGGGGGGCGGGTAGGCCCCCCGCGTCATCTGGCAGCTGGACCCAAACAGCCCAGGTGCTCCTCCCCAAGGAGAGGCCCAGTGTGGGTGTAGAGAGGGAGCGGCTAGAGGCTTGGGGGAGGTCCTCCTGCAGGGCAGGCGAGCCCACCCCTCGCAGGGCAGGGTGGTTGGGAAGCTGCCCAGGTGGTAACCTCCCAGAGACAGGTCAGGACCATCCCGTGGCCGGCCGAGTGTCTCTGGGGGCCGCGGCAGGGGAGTAAGCAGCCCTCCAACGTGTGCCTGGCCCGCAGAGGGTTTGGGCTCGCAGGAGCCTGGACGTGGGGTGGGGAAGGTGCCGCAGCCCCCTGACCACCTGTCCGCTGTCAGGGCTGAGCAGGCCACGGAGGGGCTGCGGGAAGCGGGGGCCGGGACATGGAGGAGCGACCCGTTCTGAGCCCCGCTGTGAAAGCAGCCACAGGGCCTGGGGAGAGGTCCCACATCCTGCCACACAGCTCCGTGGGCTCCTCCCTCACCCAGACAGCGTGCTCCAGACCCCTCCCCGCTTAAACCCCCAGGCGCTTGGGCGTCTTGCCCGCCCTATGTCCGGACCACCCTCCTGCCAAGACGTCGGACGTAGGGTTGGGGGGCACGCTGCTGGAGACCACCTCTGCTGGTGAAAGTGGCGGGGCTCACCGCCCCCCCCCGGGGCCCCTGACTCCACCCTCCGAGCGGCGGCTGCTGTGAAGTCTCCCTTGGGGCGCTGGCACCCTCGGGGACACCTGGCTGGCTCAGGACTGCCCCGACGGGCCGGGTGTGTCAACCCCCTCAGTCGGGGGGAGGCAGGCGGTGTTTGTGGAGCATTGGACTCATCACCAGAGGTCACGAAGAGCATCCTGGGTACCCCCTCGGCCTCAGCGGGGATTGTCAACGCCCCTGATGCCAGTCACAGACGGTGCGCACCCCCGGTTTACAGCTGAGGTAAGTGGCTCAGTCACCAGAGCCCCGGGTGACCTGGGCTAGTGACGGGACTGGGGGTGGATTCAGCAGGCCACACAGCCCCCAGTGCCCTGTGCGCCCCAGGGCCGGGACAAGGGGATGGAAAGGTCCAGCCAGCTCAGGTCTTGAAGGCGGAGGCCAGGCCTTGGCTTTGACCCCAATTCCTGAAGTCTCCGGCAGGGAGCAGCTTCTGAAGTGTGCTGGAGAGGAGCGGCCCCTGCCTGGCGGGAAGGTGCAGGGCAGCACCCGGGTGTGTGGGACAGCAGGTCCTGCAGAGGCACCTGTCGACCCCTCCGGGGGCGCTGTGACCCCGCAGACCTCCACACCGGAGCGCTGGGCGTGCCTGAGGGGCTCCTGACCTCACCCCAAGCCAGAGGGCACCGTGGAGGTGTGGAGAGGGCCTTCTGCTCCTCCGTGTCCTTGGCTGCAAGATGGTCCCACACAGGGGACTCAGGAGCCAGACCCTGCAGACCCCCGGCCCCCACCCTCCTCAGCCGTGTCTTCCTGACCCAGCCACCAGAGTGTCTCTCAGCTGTCACCACCAGCCCTCCTTCAGTGACCGTCCCCCTCCCCACTTCTCAGGCCTCCTTTCCTCCCCCATCTCGAGGCGGGAGGTGACCTGGGGCCTCAGCTGCAGGAGGCCCACACCCTTTAAGATACTGTGACGTGGGGCACGAAGTGACGTTCGGGTGCATCGAGCACGTTCCCATGGTGCACCCACCACCACTGCCCGTCTCTAGAACCATCACATCTTCCCAGAGCGGAACTCCATGCCCATTAAAGGATCTTTTCATTTGTTGCTGGTGTTGAAAACTAGATTTTACTGAAGCTCCGATTTCTGGGCTCTCTTGAAAATGGGGCAGCCAGCCAGCGCTGGGGGGTGTGGGGTGGAGGGTCCGGGCGGCTGTGGCTGCGACGGGGGCAGAGCTGACCCCCACGGCCCCACCACGCCGCCTGCTCCCCTATGACCCACCCGCGCGGGGCTGAGCCAGGAGCCCTGGCGGAGGGATGGCCCGGGCGGATCTGAGGGCAGGAATGTGCTTGGGGCACCGGGGCCAGAGGGAGGGGCCTCGGATGCTGAGTGCAGACAGGGCTCCAGAATTTGGGTCCTGGGCAGAGGGAGGGGCTGGGCCAGACATTGGTGGCAGGTCACACTCTGTGGCCACAGAGGCTGGAGCTCCGTTTCAGGTGCCGTCGGTCCCAGCCGGCCACCCAGGACGGGTGGGGGCCACCCAGAGTGAAGAGCTGGCTGGGCCCTGAATCTTGGCCCCCACGACGGGGCTGCAGGGGGCGGTGGGTCTCCAGGAGAGCTCTACACCCCTTGCGCAGAACCTGGATTGTGTCCCCTTACGTGGTAACGGACTGCAGGCCATGGGTCCTCACTGGCGGCCTCCTAGGGGCCGGAGGCTCAGGGTCGGAGAAGGGGACGTGGCCACAGAGCGGGAGGTCGGACGATGTGCCCCGAGAGTGGAGCAGGCAGAGGAGTGCCCCCCACCTTGACATCAGACTTCCCACCTCCAGAACTAAGGATAAATCTGTGTGAAGTCCCTGGGCCTGTTGGTGACAGCAGCCCCGGAAACTCCTCCGGGGGTGGGCTGTGGCCTTGGGGGCACGAGGATCCTGTCGTGGACGGATTGCCCCCCACGGCGGTGGCTTCTGCGCTGGACCCCGTCTTGCCCAGTCCCAAGCCGGCGCGGCCCGGCCTGTCCGGTGGTCGTCCGCTGACCCAGGACCGAGGCCCAGACCCCCACCTGCCCCGCGGCCCTGGCGGGTCTCAGCTCAGTCCAGCGGAGCCTCCATCCGTCCAGTCAGGTCCTGACAGCCTGGGGGATGTTGACGGTGGTGTGGCAGGTGAAGGGACCCTGCGGGGATGTTGAGGGAGGGGCGGCTCCAGCAGAGCCTGTGTAGGGGGGCCCAGGATGGGGAGGGGGCCCCGACCACCCTCACCCCCCTCCTACTGGCTGACCCCTCAGAGAAGCAGGATCCCAGCATCCACGCTGGCCAGCTGGAGGGGAGACCGGGAGGGAGCCCCACACAACCTCACTTGAGCAAACGGGGTCCGGGATAGCTTCTGGGATCAAACCTGTGTTGTTCAGGGTTCAGCGATAGAGTCAAGGAAGTTGTGAAGTGTCCCCGTTCCCTGTGGCCAGCCCGACACCCCCCGCCAGCCCCCCGTGGCTGCAGGACAACGGCAAGCCAGGGGACAGACCCCCGGACAGCCCACAGAACTCATTCAGAGGCCGGTTCTCCGGGCCCCCAGCGGGTGTGCACCTGCTGCCACCGTGGAGACGCAGAACCGCGGGGTCTCCCCGGGCGCGCTGACCCTGTCCCTACTAACCCCTGCAAACCCTCATGGGTTCCCCGCCCCCGCAGTCCCGTGTGAAATGAAGGCCGTGCTCCCGGATTACGCCGTCCGTGTCTTTGTGAGATCTGGTTTCCACTCGTGTACTTGGACGTTCATCCGAGCTTGGGGCGTGTTGGTTGCTGATGTCCATCCCTGCCGGCTGCCAGGCCCGGGATGCGGACGGGCCGCCCACCATCCCAAGACACTTGGGTGGTCTCCAGTCTTTGGTAAAAATAAAGCGCTATGAGCGTTCATGTGTAGGCTTTTTGTGTGAACCTAAGTTTTCCTTTCTTTGGGGTAAATGCCCAAGAGTGCAGTTGCTGGGTCGCGTAAATGCACATTTAACTTTCC